CACAGTGTGACTATCCAAAAATAACTGCCATAAGTTAGCTACACAGAGTTAATTAGCTGAATTAAAAAGGGATTTTCATTTTCCTCAATGTCATCACTCACCAAGTTAGGCTGGATGCTGTACTTCATTACGATAACTTTAGTAAAACTGATAAAATGCTAGTTAGACATATCATGTAAGTGTTTATTTGAGTAAACCAAAATCCTACCTCCTAGTTTTCACACTAGTCTCCTCTAGGGATATTTATTCTTTACATAAGAACATATATGCTATTCATTACTAACTTTTGTATTTCTCATAAACAGGTTTATGAATAAAATGATTCGTCTCCCTTAAAAGGTGTTATTTGGGAAGTGCACTATGCGAAAATTTTATGATCTACCCATACATCATTTTAGGAAATGTTTAATGTTTCTAAATTTGTTTCCATTTCCTTGCTTGAATAGACCACACTTCGTTGATATTTTGAACAGATAGGTGGCAAATAATTTTGCTTATGATTCAACCACTGGTTAAAAAATGCAGCTCAATCAAGTACACTAAGATAAAAAAAAATACTGTGGAAAACATTATATGGTGCTATTTTTATGAATCGATTCACAACCAATCCATGGACATTGATTTAAAACTAGACGGTGATCATTTATAAGATATATCATAAACCCCCATGCTCTCTCGGAAGGATTTTCCTCAAGGTTGTCAATATAACTTACTGACGCTTGTCCACAACCTCCAAACTTAGATCCAGATACTGATTAATGAAATCTAGCATATTTCTGATCAGAATACTAGGAATGACAGTTGCAATTTGCACAACTTTCTTCTTCACTGGTTTCCTTTCCATCATTGTATCATATATTTAACAGCAGCTTATAATATATCCCAATCAAAAGGTTACATGAAGGTATGTACTCATCCTTATGCGTTTTCAAGAGAAGCTCGTGAGAAATGTCTTGTGGGTGTGATAGTTTCTGATGAATGAGGGTGCATATCACAAACGATGACTGAAAATATCTAGAGCACTACTACTGAGCAGCCAGTTCTTAGTCTACATAAACATAATGAAACTTTATCATCCACTAGAAAATAGCAGAAGAGATATATAGGTTTGAGTAAGAAGGGAAAATGATTGTCTTCCAAACTGTGTTACTCACCTAAAAAGTATCCATTACGTCTTTCATGCCCAATTGTTATAAATTTATTGGAAACGTGAAGCGATTCCGAGATACATGAGTGCTTAGACAGTTTCCATGCTCATAATAGAAGCTAATGATCAACAGGTATAGTCGGCGAAAACTTAAATCTTTCTTCTTAAAAACTTGGTTGTCAGCATAAAACCATAAAGGTGATTAGTAAAATGTTTATTTAAATTTTCATTTTCTATTCAGTTTGCCAAAGATTTAAGACGGAATAAATATACGGGTTAGATGACAAATCATCCAGATAAAGTAAGGTGTTTGAAGTTCACTTTCATTAGGCAACTAATAGACATTTAGAAAAGATCAAACTCTACATGAATAGCATAATCTTGTATTTCACAGTTAACAGTGAATAGTGACTCTCAAAAATTAGCACTAATTATTGTTTAAAAAGTACGCTGATGTAGAAAATAAACTGTCTGAAAACCATAGGAAAATACTTAATTATAGAAAACTAAACATTTTCTATATCATGAGTAAAATGAAATCAGAGTTAGGAGTACATAAAACAAACGCGCGTAGTAAATGAGTAAAATGTTTAGCACTATGACGGAGTAATTCGAAAAAGCAAGACAACAGAAAATGCGGATTCAATAATTTATGCAAAACATTACATTTGTACAAAGTAACGACATTCGTATATTCTACTTCTCCTTCCTCAAATGACTGCTAGTCATATCAGCTTTGCGCATAAAGTAGACATTTTGAGAACAAGTGGAGTTAAGAGTGATTACTTGATTTTCTTTAGAAAAATATTTCAAATGTAATGGTTTTGTCCATATGGCACTAATTAGAGACCTGATTAACATATTGCTGGTAGTTTTCAAAATAATGTGTAAAACACAATATCCGTGTTAGTAGTCTAGGAGAAAATTCCCTTCAAAATTTGAATTGTTACTCCTGAAATACTATTAAGTTTTAGTGTCTCCTCTTAGCATCCGAAAGCTACACTACTGTCGTTTGAGGATGTTTAAAAGTCTGTACCTCAGTAAGTCATCAAAGGATGGAACCTTGAATCTCCTACTTTCCTGCAGGCGTATCATTAATGCCATGCAATTACTAGGGGGTCTTGTTAATGGCTAATATTAGGCTTTATACAGTCAGTGATGCATTTAAAGCACACTTCAGGAATTCATTCGAGTATCTGATCTCGGTGCAACCCTTTAGTTCTAAAGTCTTATATACGTCACGACACCTGAAAACTCTTGACTCTGCTTCAGTAAACTTTGAGGAAAAGACATTACTAAGTTGTCCTAAACTAGACTTGAAAATTTACTTTGAATGGATGAAACAATAACATGACCGACAAATGTTTTCATCAGATAAATGGAGAGCGCAAAAACTTAACTAAGTGACATGGTAGTTGCAGTTTACTTTCAACCTGATCTAATCGATGGCATGAATGGGTATGCGGTAACAATAAAACCTCAGTGCAAACACTTTTCTTATTTGCAGAATGCACCATCATCAGTGCCAGCAAGATGTTCGACTGCCTATGAAAGGTCAAGTTCATTACACATGATTGTTCCATACAGCCTAATTTGCAGCTGTAATATTTACAGTCCAAGTCCTATGATTGACTGAACAAGAAGAAAAAATGACAAAGCAAGGTTAAAGTTAAGGTCAAAGTGTTTGATAAAGAAAGTAAGTGAATCACCGAGTCTTCGAAACCTGCACCGACCAAGGTGATGGAGATGTGAGTTATACACATTGAAGCGAAAACCTACCACAACTTGAAAAGTTATCGAGAGTGTAATGTGGTTGCAAGAAGTCTGAAGGTGCTCACAAGAAGAAATGGTATCACAACATGAAGTCTTCAACCTCTAGTGTGAAAAATTTAGGTAGGTGTTATTTGATTAACGGAAATTATTGAGCTGGTAGAGGTCAAAGTTTGAAGACTTTTAGAAACACTTCTGAAGGGTAATCATGGTGACATAATAATATTGACTATTTATAGTCAAAACTCCAAACATTGTATAAACTTTTAAAACTCACACTCTCTTCTTATTTTCCTCTTGTTACCTTTATTATCCCTCTTTTTAGTGCTCTTTTCTACTATATTGTTGTCAAGTGTGATAAGTCGAACCACAAGACTTGTCTGTGAAATTCGATGTTGGATTATTTGTCTATTGACAGCACAAAGTAAACTGTGGTCGTGAATATTTTGCGTTGTGCATTACTTTCATAAGTGAGTCTTTTGTTTTATCAAATGATAAATTTGTTGACCGGTTTCACCACTTTTTCAAATCATGTATTTATTAGCTTTGACTCACCAAACTAGGTTGTTAGTGAAAGCCATCATTAAGTAGGTATTTTCTTAGCACCCACTTTGTCGTTAGAACATTGATTCGAAGTAATTCCTACAGCAATAGAGAAACTTATGAGACTTTTATTCGGATTACTTATTTTTCCTAATTCCATGCAGTGATAATACAGTGCCCTGCAAATTATGGCATAAAGATTCTATGACATTGACACGTAAGTTGACTACGTACTGTAAAAAGTTAACTTTACTAGGCCGTTTTGATAGTAAGAACTAAGAGATAGGAGTAAATCGACCAGATTGTTTGAAATAAAAAAGCTTCCCCGAAAAAGTATCTTACATACTCTGGTTACCTGCAGTGGCCAAAATAACCGTAACATTCGGTGCATGATAAGTGACATGTTGTTCATCAGCTTGCTTTAAGATATACTCAGATAAGAACTTGTTTCTTTGTATAAAGTAGAACTGATCTCTTAAATTTTGTTTACAGTGTTGGGCGTATCCAAGTTAGTTACAGTACAATTTGATGACATTAGAACAGTTACTGGTTATTAGTTTTAGCTGGTTATATATATCATCGAATCCTCCTAGATCTTAGCAGAGCTTACTAGTCATTTACAATGATTGGTAAATCTAAAATCTGAACTTCCAAACGTGACCAAGCTGATCACTGGACTGGTTTAATAGGTTATAGAGCTCTGATGCATTTGAAGTCGTTCTTCTGCATTTTGAAATATGAACAGAGTAGTATCTGGAAATCAGTGAATATATAAATATCTTGTGTCCATATTCCACGTAGTGGCTTGAGACAATTTCAGAATTCGTCGGCTGAAGTACATAGAATCCAGTATTCTATGCTCATCGTGGAACTTGAAAGTCGTATGTTTCGTTAGAGAAACTTCAGTCAGTAGTTTGATAAAGAAGTTTGCGGACAGAACAAGTCTATTGGTGATCATTTTAGTTGCTAAAGTTTATTTATAGCAAAAATAGAGTATTTGTCTGCAGGTCTCAGTTAATTAATCTGTAATAAAGTTTCTCAAACTGTCATCCTGTTATAAAACTTCACACATCTACATAAAAACTTCCTAGGACCGATTCGTAAACAAAATCGAATTTTCACACATAATCACAACATTTAGAAACGGATAAGTCACTTTTTGGAAACTGCAGTTGGTGAATACCAGTAATGAAATAAACATTAGTAATGCTATTCATCAACTAGAGGCAAGCTTACAATTTAGCCCAAATCCAATTTATTGAAAAAGGTCTTTTCTTATAATCCAGTAACTGAAACTAAATGTGTATGAAAGCCAACCTATGTGAGGAATACTCAAATTCGTCTTCTGAGCTTTTTATGAAGTAAGATTGCCGATTTCAAAAGGTAGTATATTTTGCCTATACTGGACAGCGAGTGCATTATCTACTTTAAGTTTCTTCTCTTCATGTTTATTAAGACGCCTGATTGCTTTTAATATTAAATCATATAAAGTAGTCAGTTCAGTAAATTATTGACTCGGTAATTTCAGGGCGATACTTACTTTGTCTTCATAGCCATTTTTTGTCAGGTTTGTATTTTCAGCTACTACTGATAATGGATGACTGGTCATATCATTCGATATATCATCTGCACCAGTGAGGTTATCTGATTGCGATGTATTCTTCGAATCTAGTTTTCCATTTTGTTGACTGGACAATTTTTCCAAACGTTCTCTCTCCTCTCTAGCTAACCGTACTCTCTCTTTTCTGGCTTCACGTTCTACTGCTTGTTCTCTTGCTTGTCTAGCCACATCAGCGTGTACACGTGATTGAAGACTTGTCATTTCTGATTCAATGTAAGCAAGGAGCCATTTCAAACCATCGCGAATCGCTTTATCCAATTTTTTACCGGGTAGCAATAAAGCGCAACAGCACTCCTAGAATCGAAAGGAAATCATTATAACTGTATCATTTGATAGGTAAAATCTAGAAGTCCAGCTTTTAATACCTGACTTATTGTCTTGTAGTAAACATCAGATAAGGTTTTATTTGAGATTAGTTACTAACCTTGATTGTGAAATTTCTACTTCTATAGCGATTACAACAGGATTAGCAGCGAAATCGATGAATCCTTTTTTTCACGGGGGGGGTGACTCGATAAACTAACTTTAGTGTCAATTTATTTAGCTGCTGCTGGTTAACACAACTCTAGAAATAGAGAGTCAATTTTCTTGAAGTTTTAAATTAGTTTTGATGATAAGTACCAGTAAATATAAAATTAAGGATTAGTGCCTTACACTAGATGATCAGTAGTATACATTATCTTCGACTTGGTTATTTCAATATTCAGAACCGCATTATCCTAGCTATTTTCTGTTGCTTGTCAAAATAAAGAGTAGTTGAGAAACCTGTGAACTACAATCCATTTAAGATTAAACAAAACATTCTTAAAACTAAGCACCTAAGAAAGTTCAATGTCTGTGGGATAATAACATTTATTTGATTAAATTGCTTGAACAAATTTAATTTATACTATTCTCAGACCATCCCAGTATCTTTAATAAACGTGAATATTCATTAATTACAATAACAAAAGACTTATTTAACCAGATAAAAGTTGACATTTATTTGATTTTAATCAAAGAAGATAACTCTTCATATAGTGCTAACGCGAGCGACAAGCTTTGTGGATACCATTTCTTTAGCAATTTGGATCTGACTGATCATAGCTTTATTAAACTGGGTATTGGTCATCTAGTGTTTAGATCACTCCTATCTGGCTTATAAAACCTGCAGCCAAACGTGAATGGGTTCTGTCCACCTTCTTCGGTACCATATTACAGTCCTATATAATTTAACCCATAAGTAGATGCTTTAAAATTTAGTGTTAAAAAAAAAACAATTTCATTCACTTCTGCTTCTTCATCTGATTCGAATTGATTCCAATTTTGTCTGCACCATACAAGGTATAAAAATGTTAACATAAAGGAAATATTTCTGTCTAGTGTTAAAGCAGGTGAAAAATCAGTCCATGCTTACCAGTCTGCAAGGGCATTGATGTTGATTTACCAAATCATCCAGCTGTAGTGCTGCTATCAGCTCCGACTCATCTACTGCGTCTTTGATATCTCGTTTATTTGCTAGTCTTAATTATCAAATATGAGGATTAAATAAATGCACAACTTTTTCGCAACTTACAAAAGAACCGGTTTACCTGATATGCATGGATGAGCGAGAACCTTGCCCAAAACTTCGTGGCATTCTTCTAGTCTTTCGGGTGCACTTGAATCCACTACAAATATAACACCATAGACTTCAGCAAAATAGGTCTCCCAAATATCACGTATTGTTCGACCACCACCCAGATCGTAAAGGTTAATATTAAACCGATCTATGGCAAATTCAATTCGATCAAAGCCGATAGTAGGCGCGATTAAGTCATTTGAAACTTGAATATATACATTGGTTAGAATTCAGCTAATTCTTTTTGGCTTACCACCCTTTATACTACGAGTTGTTGTCGTCTTTCCAGCATTATCCAATCCCAAGATGACAAGGAATATTTCTCTAAATTCAAGACAAAATATTTGAAATAAGCGCTGCTAAAAATTATTGACAGTTGGTATTCAGTTACTCTCTTCATCACTAACTTGCATGAGTTTGTCGAAAGTTTGGTAACATTGTGAGATAAATAAGTAGCAATAGTTAATTTAGACTTGAACAAAATAGTTTTCAGTCAATTAGGGTTATAAATATAACCTCAGACGCTCACCCTGTATGCTCAACGAAAATTGATTTTAGTCTTTGTTCTAATCATGCATTAAAACACAAATAACTTCAATGTCAAATTTTTGAAGTCTTGGGTGATTTGTAAACCCAGAATCACATGAATTTTTCATGGAAAGTGTTAAATAATGAATGGGGGGGTAGTGAGCATAAGCCAAAAACCATTTAACATCTCACAAATAATTTAGGGAAATATACGTTTATCAAAATCTACAGGAGCATACAAATACCAAATTAAAATAAGATTTTGGACAAGCCCAGGCAGCCGTCGAATTTAGTAATGACTATATTGTCAAGTTCTTCATTTTTTGACAAATTTTGGGACTAAAATATTCTAAGCGCGTTACATTCGCTGGGTTAAAGAGATAAATATTGTTTTGAGATGTTAAGTTCCACGAAGTATAACTCGACACTATGGGAGTCTGCAGTACCACTAAATTATAAAAATTAATCCCAAACTTTGCTTCCAAAATCTCCAATATGATAAATAACGTTTACAAAACAGTTTATTTTGATCAGTTTTTAAATCACAGTAAGACAAACTCTGCTTGGCCATCGACGGAATACAATAATCAGATTTAAGACAAAACACTTGTGATTTCACGGTCAGATACTAAAACACAATAGTTATTAGTCAGACTTATATACTTTCATGCCTGATGGTCACTTCATAGGTGGGTCCTGATATTACAGCTGTCGAGTTGACTTCATTCCAGTCGTACTTCTGACGCTTCGTTTCCGTTTAGAATTCTTTTTGACATTACAGCGACATATCCATCAAGAAACGTAAAATAGTGAAATCCTTGATCAAGGCCATTACTTCTCTAAGTGTAAAATTTCTGGTTTCAATTCACTAATGGTTGTCAATAGGTGTTGAATTTCTTCAGACAAAGTGATAATATTTCCTATACGTTAAGAGATAACATCAACGCAGATTGATACAAGCGATACGGATATTGACTGAAGGTCAACTTTGGAGCAGACTTAACTTCGGTAACCCGTCGTCCCTAACATAAGTGTTAGACTAAATTCACAGTCTACCGTCATTTTCAGCACATCAAACTGTGGTGATGGATTCATAAAGACTTAGTAGTTTCGCCTACTGATCGGAAACCACTTGATCACAATCATTTTTCCATAAAATTTATTATAAAACTATACCACTTCAAAATACTCTTGGCTCACGAGCAGTTTATAGAGCTTCAATTGGTGTTCATGGCATTTGTATCTCTTGATATTTTTCTTTCTGAGAATGGTAGACAGTTCTCAGGGATTCACTTTTAAGAATTTTAACGGTAACAAGGCCCTATGTATCTATGACATACCCCTGCGTTTGCAGTCAAACGAATAAGCTAGGTCCCTTACCAGTGCCTTCGAACTGAACACCTTAGGCCTAACTGAATAAATCGTTGGGAAAAATACCAAAAATGTCCTGCTATAACTATTCAGTATCATCACATATTCCCTAATGCATTACCCACTTAGTAATGCATTGATGTGAATATACGATGTAAAACAATGTAGTTTGGCTATCACTCAGGTTATTCATCCTAACACAAATTCAATGGTGTGACAGTTAAGCAGCTTCAACTCAGATAGTAAATCTCAGCTCGCAACTGATAACAATGTCAAGTACAGTGGTTATCATATAGTACCGCACAGAGACTTGGTAACGTTCTCTACAAAATAAAACTCGAGTCGCAATGTGAGCGCATTACAAGAAATGACCGTGACTTACATATTTTAAACCTGAAAACATGCAAGTCGAAAACCTTAGATCCACACTATAAATATCAGTAGCATGACAGGAAATAGATAAGGCCAAGTAGAATCTCTAAAAAGATGCACGTATTTCGGTCACCACTTTTGTCAACAACACAAAGAAATAAAAAATGGAGATATCAAAATAAATAAATATTCGAGCATTAGGAAATGAAGGCTATTAAAATTCCTGGGAATTCAATGAAGAAACAAAGTCAATATATTCGTGTAACTGTGATTAAATTTTATTCGTAACGCTGAAAGTTTCTAACCACTGATTCGCGAAATTTTGATGATCCCAATCAAGTATCTTGCAGTGCATTATACGATGACAGTCAAATGGAAGCACTTATACTCGTTTTCCTTGTTTGTAGTCATGACAATGAATGGACTAACAGACGAAGATGATTACGTCATCAACAATTAGCCGAATGATGAGATATTAAGGTTATGAGTTCTCATAAGGATTTGCTATGAATTAGAATGTAAACGATAGCAGAAAAGTACAAAATTTTATTGAGATCAAAATATGCACTAAATTTTAAGCCAGTTTGGGTGTGGGTACAAAACATCTGCAATCCATACATTTTGTATAAGAATCGTTAACTCATACAAACTTTGGGTATCGAAGATTCACGCTGATCATTTAATGTCAAGAGAATTCACTGTCACAACTCTATCTTTATTAGCATGCTTGTAATTGGTCTTCGATAGGAAGTAAGTACGGTAAAAATAACTCTCACTACGATTTCAACATCAGCTTTCATACGTAGTTGTGAGTACCATGTTCAAAAGCAACACAGGTGCATACTACGCATAATTCTTAAATGAAACATTCATCTGGTAATAATATAGCGTATGGTTGACATAACATTTACACATGTGTGCTAACCACCTAATTTCATCTTGACTGACGTAGCATTACAAGCTTTCTTCATATAGTGATTATAGCTCATAGTGTAACACATAAGACTAACTTTTGTCGTTGAACGACATTATTTATTCACAGGGAGGTAGAAAACCGAACAAAGTGCCTATCCTATTAGCTATAGAATGATAATAAACCTTTTACATATGAAATGCAGCACTTGAGTAAAATTAAACTAAATGTATGATAACAGACATAAGATGCCTAACTGTTATAGTGGACGGACCTTGAAAAAACAAAGTGCAAGTCGTAACCATTTTCTTTCACGTAAATATTGTATGATCTCTTCATTTAATGATGGTAATAAGTGACCTAATTAATCCCAAATGTCACTGTGTTTATTATGTGTCAGTTATGCATTATACTGACAAATATATCTAAAATTGAAACATAATCCAACAAATCTTAGATGATTTACTGAACATAGAGACTAAACTTCACTGTTAATGAGTAATTTTTAAAGGTGATGAACAGAATTCATCGCAATGTGAATGTAAAGGAAAACATTCACATTTATATTTGACTGCAGCTGATCTAAAGACGTCTCCATATGAGTAGTCAAGTGATTTTCAAAATAAACCGCACCAAAGTCTCAATCCTTTAAAGTGAAGTTGTATGTCTTCGTTAAATCTTTAAATAAAAAACTTTGTGGAGTGACATTCATTTTTTTGACTAAATCCTGGATATTTGCAAATACCTTTGATGAAATATAAGAATGAATGAAATATTCAAATCACAACATGACTCATTTCTATCGCCTTGGTCAGCAGATGTCATAACTTCCTATCTATTTATCTTTCCCAGATTTTTGTAAGCTGATTGGATTTTCACTACACAGTTAGCAGTTCCTTAGACTTCTTCAATAACATTTTACCTTTGAATTACCTGATCATCCTAAAATGCATTAAAGGTTGCAGAAAAAGTGAACCAGTTCAAGCTGTTTTCTATAAATCTCCATAAGTTGTATGACTAATGTGGAATATAGTTCATGTCCGTTCCCTTTTGGGACGTTTCTAAAGCCGCCAATGGTATGAATGTAAGTTTGCGCTGTCGAATACTCCAGGGTTACATAAATTTCATTTGAAAATAATATTCATTATCAGCAGTGTGATGATTGTATATGCTGTATTATACACTTATTCCAAACATCAGTTTGAACTTCTATCACAAAAGGTAATGGGCCATTTGTTAGGTATATTTAATTACTATCTAAATCCGTAGCGGGTATTTTGTGCTATCCATAAAATTAAAGTGACCGAAGTTCTTAAGGTTGTAGAAATCAGCAATTTTTAACATAATCTCACTCACTTTTCTTCTCTCCATTACAGAGATCTATTCAATGTACCTCTATTTGTATCTACTTGCCTGTTTCACTTCATATTACTGTTAAATATATTTTGGTGTCCTTGTTAATTTCGTGTAAGCATGCTGGGTAAAAAAGTACCAACTATTTGACTAAGCACTACATGATTCCAGTCACCATGTTATTTGCTAAGAAAGTACTAATGAACTTAAATTAACCAATATGTTATTTGATCTTTTGTAAAGGATTTAGGAATTGTGAAATCAAACATTTTTTATAACTGTATATAATAACCGGCAAAGGTTACATAAATGAACAGCGATATAAGAATGACCAAAGCACTAATGGAAAATGGATATCCGATGAAGTTTATAAACCGTTGTAGGGGTCAAGTAGTAACAAAGCAAACTCTATACACGGTCCTTAAGAAAATTGTCCATATCACTCTACCATATAGACGGGAGTTGAATAGTATCATTTTGAGACGCAGGCTGACATCAGCCATCAAGAAAACATATTACACAGCTGATCTTATCATTGTGGAAAAAACAAAACACATGCTTCACCAAAAGCCTAAACACTGCATCGATGATTACGTCACATCCCAATGTGTTTACCAATTTACGTATGTGTGTGGTCACATATACGTAGGGAGGAGCAATCAAGTCATGCAGTTGAGGGTGGGTGAACAAGTGCTTAAATGGATTCAAAAAAATGGAGTGTGAAATAGCGATAAATGCCAGTGGGAGACGACCCTCTTTATCTATAGCTAAATATATAGAAACAGGT